GACATTTCTAATCATAGAGGGGGCATGGTTTATTTTCATTCACCGAGCTAGAATATAAAGTTTCAGGAATCCAAGGGAGATCATGAGAGTGAGCTCTCTTACAAAGATTTATTGATGATCTATGGCTATTGTAATAAATGACTTTCAACTTGGTGGTTTAAAACAATAAAAAATATCCTCTTAACAGTTCTGGAAGCCAGAAGTTCAATGTAGGTTGTACTGGGATTTTGCCAAGGTATCTGGGGAGCTACATTCTCACCAGAGCTCCAGGGGAAGATCTACTTTTTTGACTCTTCCAGCTTCTGGTGGCTGCTAGCATTCTTTTGCTTATGGCTGCATCACATCCATCCTTGCTTCTGGTCACATTGCTTTCTCTCCTGTGTGTGCAGTTTCCCTCTATTTCTCTCTTTAAAAAGGCATTTGTGAGCCAGGCACTGGTGGCTCATGCCTGTAATCCTAGCTATTCAGGAGGCTGAGATCTGAGGATCGCAGTTGAAAGCCAGCCTGGGACAGGCTTATCCCTAATTAACCACTAGAAAACCAGAAGTGGCACTATGGCTCAAGTGGTAGAGCACTAGCCTTGAGCTGAAGAGCTCAGTTCAAGCCCCATGACTGACGAATAAATAAATAAATAAATTAATTAATTAAGGCATTTGTGGAACTGAGCTGTAGCTCAGTAGAAGAACGATTGCCTAGCATGTGTAAGGCCCTAAACTTAACTTATTGGGATTTAAAGCCCATTCTACAATCTAGATCTCCCCAGACCAAGATTCTAAACTTAATCAACTCTTCAAAGACCCTTTGTCTTTATAAGTTGACATTTACAAGTTCCAAAGATTAGGACATGGTCTCTTTGATGGCCATTATTAAAGCTGTTATTACTCACAAAAACTTTTGCCTTGCCAGGCACCAGTGGCTCACGCCTGTAATCCTAGCTACTCAGGAGGCTGAGATCAGGATCCGGGTTCAAAGCCAACGCAGTCAGGAAAGTCCATGAGACTCTTATCTCCAATATACCACTAGAAAACCAGAAGTGGCACTGTGGTTCAAGCGGTAGGGCACTTGCCTTGAGCTGAAGAGCTGAGGGACAGCGCCCAGGCCCAGAGTTCAAGCCCCATGACCAAAATAAAACAAAACAAAACTTTTGCCTCTGCTCTGAGACACTGGTTCTACTAGTTTGAAGGTCTTCATGTCAAAGGGAAGGGAGATAACAGAGTTTCCATTTCAGTTTTAGCTTCTCATTGCCATTAAATCAACAGTCAAGGGTGCATGGTCATTCCTCATTATTAAGCAGCTAAGTTGTTGCTGTACAACAAGGGCAAAGGTGGACTATGTCTACAGTACAGGGGATGTGCCATAGCCCAACTTAGTACAGTCAATCCTGTCTTCCATATCTGTGGGCTCTGCATGTACAGATTCAACCTACTGTGGGTTGAAATATAATTCCAATTTAAATGCAGCTTATATATGCACTGGCTATTATAGATAGATGATAGACAGATAGATAGCATTTTACTGGACACATACGGATCTTGTCTTGTTTAAACAATACAGCAAAAATCTGTTAAGAAAATAGCATATAGTAATACATCACCATTGTATAAGGAAAGTAGATGTGTAGGAAGATATGCATAATATACCTTTTTGCACAAGGACTTGAGTACCTACAGATTTTGGTGTCTGCAATGGCTTAAGCATAGACCAATTTCCTCATGAAAACTAAGTATAATTCCATGCACAATAGTAAAAATTAATGAAATGCTGTGAACCACTAAGGAGTCAGACTTTTGGGAATAATCGTTTGGGTCACTTCACTCAGAGCCTAACCAATGAGGTATTGGCTGAGGGCAAAGGAATAAAGAAAATTATACACACAAACCATGGCATGTGACCAATTAACACAAAAAGGTCTACTGCAGCTATGCATATTTTTTTTCTTTTTTTTTTTTGTCTGTTGTGGGCCTGAACTCTGGGCCTGGGCGCTGCCCCTCAGCTCTTCAGCTCAAGGTTAGCGCTCTACCACTTGAGCCACAGCATCACTTCCAGCTTTTTCTGCTAATGTGGTGCTGAGGAATCGAACCCAGGGCCTCATACATGCAAGGCAAGCACTCTACCACTGAGCCACCTTCCCAGCCCCAGCTATGCATATTTTCTTCCTTGCTTGTGTATCATGTATATATTTTTTCCCTCCTCCTTTTCTCATATTACTTTTTGTTTGAGACTGGAAGTTGAACTCATTGACAGGTACTCTACCACTTGAGGCATACTACCAACTCCTTCTTTTATTGTTTCCTATAACGATCTTAAGTGATGGCTGGATGCTAGTGGCTCATGCCTATAATCCTAGCTACTCAGGAGGCTGAGATTTGAAGATCATGGTTTGAAGCCAGCCTAGGCAGGAAAGTCCATGAGACTCTTATCTCCAATTAACCACCAAAAAGCTGGAAGTAAAGCTGTGGCTCAAGTAGTAGAACACTAGCCTTGAGGAAAAAAAAAAGTTGAGGGACAGCACCCAGGCCCTGAGTTCAAGCCCTGGGACTGGCACACAAAAAATGTAAGTGATTCCTAATTTGAGCTTATTTACAGGTAGGATTGTGACTGAATTAAAGAACAATTAACATCATCAAAATATGGATTGGGGACTAATCCTGGAGATGGACACCATTATTGGACTATGGGGCTTTGTGTTATTTTCATTTGGGGGGAGGAATAGTGTCCTCATTTGTATGATGCATAGTTTCATCTTATTAGATGAGAGTTTCTATTATAATATGGAAAATCTGTGGGTTGATGTGTATGGAACCGAATGTCCAAAAGCCGTTTTAAGTTCCAAGCATCCTGTGATACTATGGCTTTGATAAGAAGAAGAGAGACCAGAGGGCCTGGAGACTTCCTTATACCATTGTCTCCCAGCCTTATCAGCAACAGCCAGGTGGCCCAGATGATTCCACCATTCAGCTTTTTTCTGCCCTCCCAGAGGAGCTGCACTAAATCTAGTACAAGACCAGTCAGAGTCCCTCCTCTTCAGACCTCCGTGTCAGCACTATGGGGAACCCCCTCAGCAAGCTTGTGAGTACTTTTTGTGTGTGTGGTTCTGGTTATTAGACCAAGAGCCTTGGGCATATGAGGCAAGTGCTCCACCTCTGGGCTACACCTCCAACCTTAAGGTTGTGGGTTCTGATATCCCCTGGCCTCTTCCTACAGCCCAAGAAGGGGTCACTGCTCCCACAACCACTTTCTCTTGGCTATTTCTGGTTCCATTTGTTCTTACAACAGGGATATCCACTCCCCATAGTAAACTCTCTTTGTTGTAAAACTTAACATTTTTTCTGTTTTCCTGATTGGCCAAACTCTTAGAAAAAAATGGTACCATGTTTACTGGTCATCATAATAGATTGACTGGCCTGGGAGATTCCTCACATGTTTAAGCACCTAGTCTAGTTGTTCATGAAACCAAATCTTTCTCCCTAGACTTGGGGGTGAGTTCTTATTGTTGACAACAGAGGTCAACTGTCCCCATCCCCAAACCAGGAGCCTCATCCCATACACACTGAATAAAACAAAGACCAACCATCTCCTGCTGAAAACTTTAATGAAACCAATAAGTTAATAAGTTAACAAAGTGAGGTACTTGCATATCCGAGAACCGGGATAGGAGGGGGAACCTGGATCATGGAAGGAAGGGATGCTTCTCCCATATCTCCTTTGGTCACAGGGTAATAGTCCTATTCTCCTGCCCCTCTCTGCAGTTCTGTCTCTGAGCAAGGTAGAGGAATGGCTCTCTGGGAACAGTGCAGTGCAGGTATGGCAAGCCAAGATAGACTCCATCTAGGGCATGATGGTACATGCAGAGGGCACGGAAGGGCAGAGGTTGGGCCCCCATGAGGCTGAGCAAGTTCCAGCCCAAGCTTTGGTGCTGGTGCATGCAGGTCCCCAGTATGAGATGCAGCCTGGTCTTAGCCTCTTGTTGCCTGGCCTCCCGCAGAAGGCTGGGTTTGGTCCACTACCCCTAGCCCTCCTGCCACCTGTATTGGCTTTGCAGAAGATAAACAAAAGGGTAAGGAAAGTGGTTCTGGGCTCCTGCAGCAGCTGGGCACGAATGCCAGGATGCAGGGCTGTCAATTGAATTGAAGAAGTGGGATGGGGCCAATCAGGTGCACAGTTGGTGTCATTTCTAGATGGATTATTGTTCTAAGAATTAGAGTGACTAGGAAAGGGGGTGAGCCAGGGGTCTCACCAAGTAGAGTGCAGGCTCCAGAGACTTGGGCCTGAGTTTTGCTGTATGGATACCTAGGAGGCCCTCAGGAGCAGGCAGAGACAGCAATCAAGGTTCCTGGACCAGTGAGGAGTCTATCGTCTTGAGGAAAAGGAGTCGGTAAAGGTCTGGGTAGCCCTGAAGAGACCTGGGGTCACTGTAAATAAAGCTCCCTATCCTGCCCCAAAAGAGTGAGAAGCTACCTACCTATTAGTAGACCTCTCCCTGCAAGGCCTGCACACCCACATCTACTACAGGGGCCCAGGAAAGAGCAGGTGGCTCTGTGCTCATGTCTCCAAGTGTGGATGGCTGTGTGAGTCGGCGTGAGGCTTTCTTTATGTCTGGAAAACTAAAGGGCCATTTTTGTGTGCCTAATCTTGGAGCACTGTCAGGGAGGTTTGGGAGAATACAGAAAGTTGTGCTGAGTGTCAAAGGAGGGCCAAGGAGGGGAGTGGACATCCAGCAGAAAGTGGAAGCCTCCGTGAGGTGATACCTGAACATGGGAGGGCAGGGGAGAACCAGGCCCCATGCTGAGGGAGGATGGAGTGATAAGCCAAAGAATAGGGATGGGGTCAGGGCCCAGCAGCCTGAGACCAGCTACTTCTGGAGCCCATCTCCCAATGGAGGAGAGGCAGAGGGGACCCCATGGGGGTCCCCAAGTTGCATATTTAACATAGTTTGCATATGTGATGCCCATCTGCCTTGTGGCTGGGTCCTGTGCTTTGTGGGTACCTGTTGGGCACCTTGGGCCCATCCCCAAGAGGGGTGGGGACTTGGCAGGAGGGCTTCCCTGCTCTGCCCGAAGGGCAGGTCAGAGACCTCGCCTTGCATAGCTGGAAGCTGTATCAGGGCCCAGGGCCCAGGGCCCACTCCCACTCTCAGCACAATGCCCTGCCAGACAGGCCAGGTCAAGCCTTGATGGAGCAGGCAGGGTACTGGGGAGCCCAGAGGCCATGGGGCAGCCGCTGCTATAGCCCTCCACATGGCCTGGCATCTCATGCTCCTGGGGGGCCTGCCACCCGCGGCAGATCCGCCGCCCGCCCAGGCAGCTCAATACTGCGTGTGGCCTCTCTCCCCGCGAGGGAGCGAGTTCAAGTAAGAGAGGAGGCCCGAGGCCTCAGAGGGCGGGCGTGGCCTCCTGGCCGAGGGGCCGGCCGAGTGCCGTCCCGTCCCGGAGAAGCCCCTCAGTCCATGTTGGTGCTGACCGAGCGGGAGATGCTGAGCGTCTGTGCGGAGACGGAGATGTCCTCGTGGTCCACGGGGCTGTGGTAGTCGGAGGTGATGTCGGGATCAAAGAGCGGCACTTGCATGGTGCCCAGGCTGGCTGAGGTGCCGGAGGAGCGCAGGCAGCGCGAGTAGAAGCCCAGCAGCAGGTCCAGCTTGTGCTCGATGGACTGCACCTGGGGGCAGGGCACAGCTGGGAGGCGGGCGGGGGCGGGGCGACGGCGGTGGGCGGTGCAGAGCGAACGGAGAGCGGGGCTGATAGGCGGTGGGCCTCGGTGGTGGGCGGGGCTCGGTGGTGGGCGGGGCTAATGGAGAGCTGAGGGGCTTTCAATAGCAGTTTGCCCGAAGCTGGAAAGCTAGGTAATGCTCTTGGGCCGAGGGGGATGGGGGTAGGGGAGGAAATGGGGGGGGGGGACATGGCGGGGCGCGCGGGGAGTTGAGCTGAAATTGAGACACTCCAGGGCAGACAACTGAGAGACAGAGTTAGAGGGCTTTTGGCCTCCTGCGGGCCGGGCTCAGAAGGGGACAGGCTTCCAGCTGGGGCGCAGCAGTAGCCAGCTGTGCCTCTAGGCCGCGCTTCTGAGAACCTCACCCCCCTCCCCTCATTTCCTTCCTGAAGCCTACCCAAGTCGACTAGCTCCGCCATCCTACACTCACCTGCTTCTCCACCTTTACCACGCGTCCCATCATGCTGATTTCATCCACTGCCTCCGCCTCGGAGGGCCCCTTGTCGCTCTTCTCCCGAGTCTTCCGGTCCCCGGGTCCCCGACCCACAATCTGGTCCACCCTGTAGGAAAAAGGAACCATAAAAGGAGCCCTTCCACAGGAACTCTAAGCCTAGAAAAGAGATGTGCGACTCCAGAGGCAAGAGGTGGCCACGGAGGACAATCTGCCTTTCCCTTTGGGAGATGGGAGGTTGGTGATTATTTTAGGCCCATTGCGTTAGTGCCAGGAAACAGTCGATGTAAAGATTCCTCCATCCCCCTCTCCCCCCACCCCCGCCCAGGAGTGCAGTTCTATAGGGCCCACACAGAGCACCTATGGTTGAGTTTTACTTAAGCCTCAAAATAGCCGCGTGCTGTGAGGCAGTGACTTTACTCAGCCCAGAAACTCTGGTCCAGCATCTACCCCTAGGGGGTGCGCACCCTCCCAGCTCCCAGCCCCCACCTCCACCCCAACCCCTGCCCAACACCCGGAGGTCCAGCTCTGGCCCATTCAGGGTAGGAGGGGCTGGTGAACTCACCGAGTCTGTAGGCTCTTGATCCTGCCCAGCATGTCCAGATGTCCTGCTGAATACTGCTCAATGACATCCTTCACATCGTATGGTCGCAGTGTCTCCTTGAATTTCCTCTTGGCTACCAGGAACTTCAGAATCCTGGTGTGGAGGGGCGGGAGGAGAAAGGGAGTTTCAGAGGAAGGGCCCAGTTCTAGTAAGGGATTCATTCTCAGTTCCTTTTGCCCCTTTGCTACCCACTTGTCCAGCTCTAGTCCTGCTTAGGCCACTGCAAGCAACCTCAGCTGGATGCCCCACCCCACCCCCATCAAGCTCCCCTTTGTCCTGCCCTCAAAAGTTGATTTTTTCCCCCCAGTGGTACTCACTAGACACTATGTTGAAAATGAACTATACAAGTTGTGGGTGGGGATGAGGGAAAAACTAGGAGTGAGGGAAGGGGTGACACTGTCCGAAAAGAAATGTATCATTACCTGACTTATGTAACTGTAACCCCTGTAAATTATAAATGTAATGTCACTTCTATAATAACAATAATTTTGTGTGTATGGGGCTTGAACTCAGGACCTTGAGTTCTTTTTTGCTCCGGGCTACTGCTCTACCACTTTGAACCACAGCTCCACTTCCAGTTTTCTGGTGGTTAATTGTAGATAAGAGTCTCACAGACACTTTCCTGCCTGGGCTGACTTTGAACCACAATCATCAGATCTCAGCCTCCTGAGTTTGAGCTACCAGTGGCTGGCTCAATAAGTTTTTTTTTGTTTTTTTAAAGTTTCTTTTTTTTTTCATATGCTTGAATCTGTAGTCTTGGTAACCTGGGAAGGTAGGGTGTGAGTCTGGTGTCCCTCAGCTAGATGGGCCACAAGAAATATTGCATTCATCCCATAAATACTTGGCACTGCTGTGAGACCCTGGACACTCAAGGGGGGTTAGATCCAATCCTGGCTTCAAGAAGCCTAGGTCCAAGGTGGTAGACTGAGAGGGCACAGGCAATTATGGAGTGACAGGATACGTGATCAAATAATGGAGAAAGAGGGCTGGGAGTAACGAGAAGGGACGGGCTTGGCTTGGGAGTTAAGGGGGCAAGCTTTGAGAGCAGCATTTTTCTGGCCCCAGGGCAAGAGGTGGGGGGATGAAGGAAGCTTTCTGGAAACAGGCATGGGGGTATGTTAGTTCTGAGAGGCAGCAACAGGTACATGATTGTCCAGGGTCTGTCCCCAAGCAGGGAACAGTGTGAGGATACAGATGAGCTATTTGGAAGATGAAGAAGACTGCAGTCTCAAGAGTCTGGCAGAGTGGGCACTAGGGTGGGGTGGTGGTTCTTTCTGCTTTAGCATGAGTGCCCAGAGCCAGGGTCATAGACGGGAAGATTCAGGGGACAGAGCTGAGCTGCAAAGGAGCAGTGGAATAGAGCTAAGGGGCAGCTACAAGCAATTCAGGAGGTGGGACGGAAAGGCTTCCCGGTCCAGGATGACTGAAGCCACAGGGTGGGTAGTGGTGGTGTCACTGTCTGCAATGCAGGACCAGAAGAAGGAATAGGTTTAGGGCATGCTGAGTGTGAAAGGTCTGTGCTGTGGTGGCTAAAGAAATAACAGTCCTCGCAGCTCAGGCACTATGTTCTAGATAATGACCACAGGGAACATGGCAGGAAGAGGAAAGGGGGTGAGGAAAGATCTCAGACTCTGGGAAAAGATCCTGCTGACTCTGATTTCAAAACAAACACAAGGGCAAGAGGCTTACAAGCAGATGTCTGAGCGAGGAAAGAAAGGAACTGAGTCTACAAGGTTTGCAACTCAGGGGCCTCTGGGGCTAGAGCTGCAGGCTGGAAATGGAGACAGAGCCAGGACTCCTGGCCAAGTATCTAGGGCTAGATGCACCCGGGCCCTGGCTATAGCACACACAGATGGGTCCCCATTGTCATGGCAGCTGATGTAGCAGAGGCTTTCAAACTTTTTAAGCCAACCCTACCATAAAAATGTATTTTATATCGCAAGCCAGCTCACACGTACATATACATGCGCACACACACATAACTGAAAAACAAATTTCATAAACATTATTTACCCTCCCCTCAGTATGATAGATGCATTCTCATGGCTTTTTTTTTTTTTTTGTCAGTTGTGGGGCCTGAACTCTGGGCCTGGGCGCTGTCCCTCTGCTTTTCAGCTGTAGACTAGCGCTCTACCACTTGAGCCTCAGCCCCACTTCCAGCTTTTTCTGCTTATGTGGTGCTGAGGAATCAAACCCAGGGCCTCATGCATGCAAGGCAAGCACTCTACCACTGAGCCACCTTCCCAGCCCCGTCCTTTTTTTTTTTTTTTAATGCTTACCATAGCCCCACTAATTTGGTTTCACTAAGTTGATTTCAAAACATCTCGACCTGTAGTTTGAAAAGTGTTGCTCTATAGGAAGTCTGGAGAGAAAGAGACCAAGACACCCAAGGAGAGAGACAATTGAGATGAGATGCAGAGAGAAAAGGAGCCTGGGACTGAGCACAGAGAAGCTGGGAAGGCTGCATAGACAGAGATCCCAGGAGAGACAGACAGGTGCTGACATGAATGAGGAGAAGAAGGAAAGGGCCTGACATGAACTGGGAGATGGAGAAAGGAGAGAGAAGCAGAGAAGCAGATCAGGAGGAGCTTGAAGGATGGTGCCCGTGTAAAGACAGGGAGCATGGAGTGGCCACGCCACCAGCCCCTGGAGCCAGGCCCTCTGGACATGATGCAGAGAAGCAAGCTCTGCTAGGAGCTGCCTGTCACCTGCCTACCTCTCCTGCACGCCAGGAGGGCAGCAGCTGGCACACTGGGAGCCAGGCCAGGCCTGGCCAAGAGGGCAGCCCAGATGGGGAGCAGCAGCAGGCAACAGGTGGAAGGAGTGCTCACCTCAGCTTTCAGCCTCACCTGACGGAGCGGATGACTGTCTTCACCGCAGGCATGACATCATCCACCGTGAGCTCACACTGGTAGCTCTTCTCCTCTGCTACTTCCTCTGAGGGGACCTCTGAAAAGACAAGAATGGTCTACATAGTCCAAGAGTCAGCAGCAGAGGGAATCATACCCTGTATTACATGGATCGATAGACAAAGGCCCAGCACCATCCTGGGGCACCAAGCAGCCGAGGCTCCTATTTCCCTGGCTACTGCCCCTCATTGCCCTATCCAGGTCCAAAAACCCCAGGGCACTCAGGCCCAAAGGTCTCTGTGGTTAGGCAGGGAAAACATCTGCCTGATGCCAGGTGAATGGAACATCTGTTCTGTTCTGGGCAGAGAGGATACACACGGCCCTGGAGAAAAGCCTGCTAGTCCTCACCCCAAATGCAAGACGGGGGCTCTGGGGAAAGGGCTTTGGTGCTCTGCACATATCCATGTGGTCCTTATTCTCTTGTGAGGAGGGAGGAGGCTCGGGGCTAGTTCCCCCACAGCCTCCCACATAGCTGGTTCCCTGCTACCAGGGAAGGCCCTTAAAGCAAAGATAAGAAACAGCTCCTGTGGGGCTGGTGCCCTGTACTGCAAAAGAGATGACACTGCCCCCCTCCCCAGCAGAAGGAAGGGAGAGAGAGAGGGAAGTCCCCTGGCATCAACCATTCCCAGGCCTCCATGAGTCAGCACCTCCCAAAGACTAGTTTGGGGGTTCTATAACCTGCCAGGATAAAAGCTCTCTTGAGCTGTCAGCCTGGACATCTTGGCACAACACAGGCAATCAAAGAGACTGGCTGTCTCCATCCTCCATCTTTTCTACTCACAATCCTCTTTCCCCAGCCTAGAATATGTCTTACAACCAGGAGGGATCTTCCAGGGAATCTGGTCCAGCCCTGGCACTTTCCAGAAGTGGCTGCCAGGTGCAGAAAGAAGCAGCCTCTGCCTACATCATCATCCAAGTTGCATGCAGATATCAAGAAACAACCTCCCACTGGGCACCTGTGGCTCACACCTGTAATCCTACTCAAGAGGCTGAGATCTGAAGATCACAGTTTGAAGCCAACCATGAAAGTCCATGAGATTTCTTATCTCAATTTATCACTAAAAAAAGCTGGAAATGGAGATGTGGATCAAGTGGTAGAGCAACAGACTTGAATGTGGAACATAAAGCTAAGAGACAGTACCTAGGCCCTCCCCTCCCCCCGCCCCTCAGCTGGTCCAGGGCCCTAGACCTCCAAGGGCTCACCCTCCGCAGAGGTGCGGGGCTTGAGTCTCAGAGAAGCCCGGAAGCGAGTGCGGTCATTGAAGCTCCAGCTCTTCTGTACCTTGGTGGGGCTGGTGGCCTCGCCTACCTGCTCGCTGCCCGGGGAGGTAGGCATTGGTGGAGGTGCCAGGTGCTGCTTGGAAGGACCTGTCCGCCGTTGGGAGCTGCCCATACGGATGCGGTCTTTGATACCCATCCGGCTGCTGGCAGGGCAGTTGGGAAGAGAACCAAGTTAGCCAGGGATGGAATAAGGGGCTAGGGGATCAAAGCTGACTTAGGACTTTGGGGTGGCCATTGGGGCATAGTAAAGGGGGACCCTGACTCCTACTAGAAACTGAATCAGAGTCAAGTGGAACACATCCCATCCCCAACCCTACCTCCCCCCTACACCCCACATTTCTCAGACAGATAAGGGGTTCACAGGAGACAGATGTCAGAGTGGAAGGTGTGAGAGAAGTCCAAAAGGAAGTCAGAGACAGACAGGAGGACAGAGGATCTGGGCCAAGTCTCAGGTGAGTGGTGGAAAGTGGAGGTGGCAGCCCCTTTGGGCACAGACTGGCTGCTGAGGAACGGAGCTTACCTGGCCTCCTACACATTTAGGAGGCCTTGAGTCCTCATTGTACACAGGAGCTGGCTGGGTGGGGTTGAGGAGGTATGTGTACACATGCACAGTATGGATATACATGGTGTGTGTGTGTGTGTGCATGTGTACACGTGTGTACACACGCATTGGTCAAGTCAGGGCTCTAGGACCTGGTACAGATGTGCAAGTAGTACACTGCAAAATAAGGTCTCCATTACACACAGACTTTCATATGATGGTACCCATGGCCGCTTGCAAGGTGAAGGCCCGCTGTACAGTAGGCCCCAGAATCTGATTGCTGGGCCCAAATGAATGCCCAGGACATGCCTAGCACCCACTTTCCTGGTGAAGAGTCTGTGTTTGGCAGCCTGTTATTCTGCCATCTTCCCTCCCTTCCCCTGCTCACTAGAGCCGATGTCCCATGTGATCAAGACCACTCACCCAGCCTACCCCCTAAGCACCCAGCTTACCCTGTACATCTGTGTGCATTCAAACACATGAACATGTCTGGGTATGCATTCTGACTTCTCTTCTTGTACCTGGCTCCCTACCACATCCCCAAACTTTGGAGGTAGACAGGTAGGGGATGCCTTGGTCGTCTCTGAACAGGCCCTGGTTAACCGATACCTGGTAGAGTAACTCTGTGTCCAAGAGCTTCAAGAACCACTCTAGCCATTTGGGTAGGACCTATGCAAATGCCCGTTACTCCATGCCCTGAGGCGTCACTGCTGCCTCCCCTGTAGTTTGTCACAGGTTTGGGGGGGAAGTCCCTTCCCAAAATGTCTGGGATTTCAGCTCAGAAGAGCACAGTCAGTCTTTGAGGAGGCCTGAGGCGTGGCAAAGGTGAGATAAGCCATGTTCTCTGTTCTCGGGGACTTTCGGATCAAGGGTTGCACAGAAGACAGATTCTGGTTTCGGTGCTGGGTGGGAAGCATGGGAGAGTAGTGAAGAGTCAAGGTGCTGAGGTGAGGGAGATCTCGAAACCAGGGGCACCTTCAGGAAGGCGGCCCGGATGTGGGACCATCCTTGGGGGCAGGGGCCTCTGTCCAGAGGGGAGAGGTTATAGGTAAGGATCGGAGCCCTGAAGAAAGCAGAGGGATGGCTTCTGAAATCTAGCATGCCCTTTGCTGACCCAGGATCCCTCAAACACATCCAAAGATTCCAACTGAAGTTTGAGGGCAGCTTTCCCAAACTTGCCTATGCAGAGCCATTCCTGCAGGCTCTCATGCCGGCAAGCACCCCCACCCATCCATCCGTGCAACCCCACCCTGTCCTCCATTCCTCCATGTGGGAGAGAAGGAGAAGAAGGCCTTGGCACTTCAGCCAAGGACCCAGAACTCTGGATCAATGCATCCAGCACATCCGGCTCCGATGGCATTCTGGGAAAGGAGGACCTCCCAGTAGCAAGAAGTGTGCAATAAGACTATGCTTGCAGGGCTGGGAAGGTAGCTCAGTGGTAGAGCTCTTGCCTTGCATGCATGAGGCTGTGGGTTCGATTCCTCAGCACCCCATAAGCAAAAAGAAAACAGCCGGAAGTGGTGCTGTGGCTCAAGTGGTAGAGCGCTAGCCTTGAGCTGAAGAGCTGAGAGACAGCACCCAGGCCCAGAGTTCAGGCCCCACGACCGGATCAAAAAAAATACTATGCTTGCACTTTGCAAGACTTGGGGAGGGATAGGGCTGAGGCTTGCACTAGAGGCCTTGAAAGGTCCCTTTTGGGCTCTGATTCTGTAATAAGGAGGGAGCTTCCGGCCTGGTTTGTGGAATTCTGTAACTTTCCAGCCAGTCAGAGACCTTGGCTCCTCTTTAATGCAAGAAGACACTCTTTTCCCAGGAGTGGTCCTGGATTCCAGCTCCTTGGGTAGGGCCCAGAAAAAGGCTCACATCAGCCTCTCTGGAACCGAAAAGCTCAAAGAAACCTTGCTTACAAATGGGCACCAAAGAGCTCGTCCCCTTCTCCTTGGAGCACACAAGTCTTGACTGCCAGCCCCAGCCTCTTGGTGTGGGGGACTCAGAATCTACCATCCCTATCTCACATCTGCAGAAAAAGAGGACATGAAGCCCAAAGTCATAGAGCTCCCAGAGGCATAGAATAAGCCTGGGATCCTTATCTCAGACTTTAGAGACTGTGCTCTTTTTGGGGGGACAAGTGCTCAAAGTGGGGAGTAGGGAGCTAACTGAGCACCAAGGGATGTCTAGCAAACCCTAAAGACATCTTGGGTGGGGTTACACAGTGTGGGATGATCCTGGCATCTGATGGCTGGAGGCCAGGAATGCTGCTAAGCATCCCATAATGTATGTGAAGACTCCCATGCAAAATTATTATCCCAGGGCTGGGAAGGTGGCCCAGTGGTAGAGTGCTTGCCTTGCATGCATGAGGCCCTGGGGCTTGCTTCCTCAGCACCACATAAGCAGTAAAAGCCGGAAGTGGTGCTATGGCTCAAGTGGTAGAGCACTAGCCTTGAGCTGAATAGCTGAGGGACAGCGCCCAGGCCCAGAGTTCAGGCCCCACGACCAAAAAAAAAGACAAAAAAAAATAATCCCACTCAAAATGTCAGTGCACCACACTAGGTCAAGAAACTGGGTTAAGGGGCTTCTGGTACCTGGGAGAAGAATGGGGTGTGTCTTGCTGCAACTGCCTGGGGGAGGGCAAGCTCTAGCACAGGCTGCCCCTGACGGCTCTGCTGGACCCAGCTAGTCCCTTTCACACAGTTCCACAAGGAATTTTGTTAGTATCCATCCTCTCCCTGTCAAAGGCCAACCTAGGGATCGAGGGTCACCTGCCTCTATTGTGGTCCTTCTTTAGGGACCATGGAAACAGTCTCACTGCAGACCCCTCTGCCCTGCCCTGGTCCTTCAGTCTGTCCTGCCCACCAAGCCATTTCTGCAGAAGGGCAGGTCTGACCCAGAGTCTCCTCAGCTTCTCTCTTCACTGTGGCCCCACTCCCCACAGTTATAGGTCCCAAGCAACTTTTTAAAAGTAAAATATTGGGGCTGGTAAGGTGGCTCAGTGGTAGAGCGCTTGCCTTGCATGCCTGAGGCCCTGGGTTCCATTCCTCAGCACCACATAAGCAAAAGAAAAAAGCCGGAAGTGGCGCTGTGCCTCAAGTGGTAGAGCGCTAACCTTGAGCTGAAGAGCTGAGGGACAGCACTCAGGCCCAGAGTTCAGGCCCCATGACCAGACCCAAAATAAATAATAAATAAATAAATGCAAAATATTAACTGCAAACATACTAAACTGCACGAGGCCCACATTTACAGGAGCCAGGCAGGGTTTTAGAGGAAGCCCAGTCTATTATCTACATTTCCATCTGAGAAAACTGAGGCTCAGAGAGCTATGTGACAAATGAGTGGTAGCTAGAGAGTGATCCAACCCCATGTTTCTAAGAAAGGCTATTCTTGACTGAAGCCCAGACAGACAGACAGACAACGGCTCTGTCCCCACTGGCCACTATGCAAGGCCAAGAGGATAAAGCCCAGGATAGACTTTGGTTCTTCATGACCCAGCCCTGCTCCTACTCCCAGCTCTGACACATACTTTCAAATCCGGCCTGCACTGGCTACTTGGCTCATGGCTTGGCTCATGGCTGCCTCCGTGCCTTGGCCTGCTTCCCTTGGACAGGGTACTCTCCCTAGCAGCTACCCCTTTCGGGGCTGCCTCTGGATCAAGTGCCCAACCAGGGCTCCACAGCCCCTCTGCTTCCTCATTTTGTGTGTTCATGGCACAAGATTACAATTATCCTTTGCATCTCTTGGGAGACCATGTTTTATTCTTCATGTCCTCAGCGGACAAAGCACGAGCTGGCACAGGGCAGCCACCATGAATATAGCTGTAACGCAGCTGGAAAAGTTGGGTCTCTGGTTAGCAAGGGAAGTCCAGACTCCATCTTTGCAGACATCTGCAAGGTTCTCAGATAAGCAGTGAGGAGATAGGAAACTAAACCCAAGGCCTGGGACAAGTCAGAGGGGGAAGGGCCCTTAGAGAACCTCTAGTTCAATCTGCCCATTCCACAGATATTCAGAGAAGAGAAGCATTTTGGTCAAGATCACACAGGGTTCTGTAGCAGAGCCAGCACACATGCCCAAGGCTCCTGTGAGTGTGCCTTCAGGCACGTTGTGCCCATGCCCCAGACCTGGCAAAGGCATCCCCAGAAGGCAAGGGGATCGTTAGAGCTAACGCAGATGACAGGCAGCAGGCACATGCACCTTGTCTTTGACCCATCCTGTCCCCCTCTCCAGTCCCAGAAGTGAGGGGACAAAGAGGAGTGGGAACAGGAGGAGCAGGTTAGGGGGTACCTCGGTCTCCAGCTGGCGTGGATCCGAAAGAAACTCCGCTTATTACTAAACATCTGGCTGGAAAGTTGAGAACAAGACACGAACAGAGGTTAGTGACAGAGGCAGGTGGGTAGAGCATGGGGAGCTGCCAGGATGGGGCCGGCCTTCTGTGGCTGGTGAGAGAGAAGGATCCCCACCCGCTACCCTCCAGCCCCATCCCCAGAATGCAGACGTTCTCACGCTCTGCAGAAGGAGCTCCTGAGAACATGTGGAACCTACAGGAGTCTGGGCCTCTTCTCCAGAGTCAACTCTGAGGGAGAGTTCTAGGCATTTGCATTTCAAACACACAAACCATGAGGTGTTCCTACAGGTAGTCAGGAGGCCATGCTTTTGAGAAACTGATCACAAAATCCTAAGAGGAAGATGCTGGTCCTGGGATCACCAGCCCCCAAAAATTCTCCTTGGAGCTCGACTTCCTGAAGACATGCTCAAGCTCCACTGGGAATGTGGCCAGCAGGTGGGGGTGTATGGATGTGTGTGTATACACTCACACATGCATTTGAGGGGGATGGACCACAGGGCCATAGGGCCACTTGGCCTTGAGCCTGGTAACTGAATTAAAAGTCCCAGCTCAGCCCCAGGAGTCCCTGGGAAGAAGGGACACTCCTTCACCATTATCGTGACACCAGCCATGTTGACACTCCAGGGAAGATGGACACAGAAGATAGTAATGGCCAAGCCCTCAGTAGTAGTCTTGGACACAGATGGTGTCAGTAATGGCCTGGCCTTGAGCAGTAGTCTGTTCCTGGGCCTCAGGGGACTCAGGGACCTGGAAATGCTGTGAAAGGTGGCACAGGTTCCAGGCTACAGGATAACTTCCATTCCCGGTGCATCTCTGCTCAGGAAGGGGAGACAAGGGTGAAGTGAAGCCTCAGAGAGTCCATGCTCAGGTCTTACCTTGAGCTGCCAGAATGCCAAGCCTTTTGAGGTTCTGCCTATATACTGTGGTTTGGCAGGGATGGGGAGAACCCTAAAGGGCCTTCAGGCAGTGATGGGGAATCCAAGTGGAGCCATATCATGGCCTTCTCTTCCAGGAAGCTCCCAGCCTGGTCTGGCCAATCAGGCTTCTCCTCCCTCCAGCTCCAGCCCTAGGTGGGGGCTCTGTCTCTCCATCTACTTCCTGTTCAGCTCTTGCCCAGAAGTGTCCTCATAAGAAGAGGGAAAAGATGCTGTCCCCTACATTCTTTACACCAAAACATCTCTATCACCCTATTCTCCAAGCCTTTTCAGCCCAAATCCCAGAGAATCCAGAGCCCCTGGTCAGCCTAAACACTGCTTCTTTTCTGTCAGGAGCAGAGTGACTTGAAGACTTTTCTTACAGACACACATAGCATCAGGTGGCAGGCAAGCTTCTGCTGGCCCTTCTCCTGCTCACTGAGGGGGCTCAAGCTCTTCTTTCATTTCTTGTTCTGAGCCTGGAGCTCAGAATTACATCTAAAAGTTCAAGGTCATAATGTTCACTTGGGCTGGTTCAGGGATGTGTGACGATGAAACACAACAAAGCTGAAAGAGGAGGTATGAACTGAACTGAATCCTTGGCCTCCAAGCTAAGTCCCTATGGAAGCTTTCCCCCCAACCCAGTATGCTTGTAATTCCTCCTAATGAACATGCACGGGACAAACACTGACTGCCCTTTCTTGGCTCTTCTTTCAAGATGCAAAAGCTCCAGAAGAGACAGGTCAAGGGGAAAGAGACGGTTGCGGATGGTGGAAAGAGTACCTCGCTGTGGAAGAAGAGACTCCCAGGAGGCCTCTCTGCTATGCACTAGCAAAGCTGAGGTCAAGGGTTGCATGGGACAAGAGCATTAGTTGTTGGCTGAGCTTACAGAGGTCCTACAGCAGTCTTAGGCACAGAGTTCTCTTTCCAGCTGGCATCTGGCTCCCGAGCGGGAGGCAGATTCAGTGTCAAGCCCTCCTATAGCAACATGTCAGGGGAGGGGGTTCCCTGCCCTCACACCGCAGAATGCTGCCCGCAATTACCTGAGCCGTAAGCACCTGGGGCCAGCGGCCTCCTCCTCTCTCCAGCTTCCCAGGAGGGATGGGGGTGCGGGGATGGAAGAGTGAGGGAGACGTGGAAACAGAGAAAGAAGAGGACAATGGCATGAATGGAGGAGACGATAGGAAAGGATGGTGAGGACAGCTCTCCCTTTCAGACCCTTGGAGTCAAAAAGATGAGTCCAGCCTCTCCAGAGAAGGCTTCAGTCTGCACCTGTCTGGCCATCCAACAACCGCCTGGGAGTCCCCCAAACAGGGTCAGACACCCACATGGTGGCTGGAGGCAGATCTAAGAGAGGGCGAAACAGAGAATGGAAAAAAAGAACAAGAGAAGCGAGAGGAGGTGGCGGCCACACGGGGCCCCTACCTTTCCCCAGGGCAGAAGGAGGTGCTGCCTGGTCGGTGGCAGGTGGCAACGGGTGGGTAGCGGGAGGGCGCTCCGTCGGGTACTGGCGCCCGCCGCACCTCCAGGGGCCGTAGGCCCCCATTGCGGGCCCGTTGCACGTGCTCAAACAAGAGGGCCAGCTCTCTGCAGGAGAGGGCGCCATCAGCCACAGCTTGAACCCCAGTACCACCCCTCTTATCTATTGGGCTCTGAGCTCCTGCCAGGTCCTAATCCACCCTCCAGAGTGGATCAAATACTCCTGGCCAGAATAGGCAAAGGGGAAGGTAGGAAAGACTGGCTTTGTTCCTCCTTTTCTATGCTGGTTTCTGGATGCCAGGCATGGTTGTGCAGGATGGCACCACTCAAGAACCTCACACGAGGCAGTAAGTGGGAGCTCAAATCCAGCTGATTCTGCTCATTAAGCTGACTGTCTGGAGGTGGAATTGTGCCGACCAGAAGGTCAGTGAAAACCCTGAAATCCCTAGGTTCCCAGTCTAACTCTGGATTTTAGGAGAGACCGAAGACAGAGATCTAGTAGGGTAACCAGTCCAGCTTCTGCTCCCTGTGGCATTTGGAGACTAGATTTGGAGCTATATATAGCTGCTCCTTAACTCTCTAGGCCACTTCTTCGTGCCCTCGCCAGGAGGGCACACCTCCCCCACCCACCTTCCTATGAGAATACTGAGATCCAAAGAAGCAAAAGTAGGCCCAGAACCTCCAGACCAGGCTCTGTTCCTTCTTTCAGGGGACCCAGACCACCCTATTCCAAGTTCCCTCTCCCCTCCAACCTCTGCCCCACTCTTCTGCCTGGGCTGTGTTCTCAGGGCAGTTCCTGTAAAAGAGGCCCTATCTGACGTGTGCATTTGCCTCTACCAGGTGGGGCATGGAAGCCCCTTCCTAGCACTTGCTCCTTGCTCCTCTTCCTCTCATGGGAAGACCAGAGGTGGGGAGGGAAGGGAAGGAATAGGAGAGGCTAGGCGCAGCCAGTGGGCTCACCCAACAGCTGCTCTTGGAGAACTAATGAGGAGAAGAAGGCTCGCAGAATCGCTGACCACAGCAGCCAGGCCCAGCCGCATACTCTGTGCCCCCATACTTGCAGGACCAAGCCAGAGCCAGCTCTGCAGTCTTTATTACTGTCCCAGGGCCTGGTCAGGCACCTGGCTCCATGTACCTTGGAGATGCTATTAATAACCCCCTGCATGGAGCTACCCCATACATCCTTAGCCTGGCCTAGGACCAGTGGAGCAGGCTCACTTCCAGGCACTGAGGCTGCTGCCTGGCAGAGTAACAGTGGGCATATAGTCATACATGGGGCATCTGGCCTTGACACATATGTTTCTGTCCATTCCAACCAGCTAGAATCTGCCAGGTCGGTACAGGCTAAGACTGCTCCCACTTAAGATAAGATGAACTGGCTGGGCCTGTCCTGTGGAATCACCTGTGGGTGAATATGCCACTGCCAGCATGTCAGGAGCCAGGACTCAGCCTGAGGGGCAGAGCTATACCATTACCCTGTGTCCTATGCTTGCCTCTTCCCAGGCACAGTAGGAAAGGGGGGAAAGTCCCCCAGGCTCTGAGTGATCTAGAGGCCTGTGAAACCAACCTGGGATGCTCCCTTAGGAACTGTCACCCCTCCCTTTTGCCAGGGCTAAGTTGGTGCCATTGGTGCTAGGGGGACATTACTGCCAACCCCCTCCCACACCCACTCCAGTAGGACCTACCTGAAGGATGGGAGGATGCTGTCATAATAGTACCAGGTAGCTGTCAAGTAGGCCCGGCTGGTATCAGTGGAATACAGGCGCCATGCAGCCTAGAGGTATGGAGATACAGCGCAATGGACATCAGTTTCTCACCCCTCCTCCAGTCCTCTACCCCAGAAGGAACTTAGGACTTAGCCAGAGGAGGATTATGTAGAGCCAGCAGCCAGTACTGGCTCCATAGCCACTGAGGGGCCAGCCAAGACCTAAAGAGGTATGACTTTCCCAAGGTGACACAGAAGACCATAACGAGAGCCAAATCCCTCAGAGCACAAGGGGTACTGCTGAGGGATTTGTTGTTAGATGGGTGTGGATTTCCAGTCCCAGCTCTGTCCTTACACATTGGTTAGACTAAGGAAGCCTTGACAGACTTTTGGTTGTTTAGATAGTGTCTCATTTTATTGCCTAGGCTGGCCTTGAACTCTGTATCCTTCTGTCACAGCCTTCTAACTGCTGGGATGACTGCCATGCAGCACTATACCTGGCCAGAACCTTAGTTTTTTCACCTACAGAATGGATTGGGCCCTTTTTACCTAGTGGGATGTTGTGCTGATCAAATGAACTGATGTCTGTGCAATGCCAAGCTTGGTGCCTGGTATACAGTCAGCATTTAATGTGAGATGCCCCTAGCATACACTTCCATTGACTCTCTTATCACATCCAATAAATATCCATTCACTGGGCATCTGGTTAAAGTCCTTCTCCTAGCCCATAAGCAACATCTTAGTCATCACTGTGCCCTCAGTGGGCCAGTTACAGTGTTCTGTAGTTGTTTGAAGAGTGAATGTGACTGGGTAACTTATTAGTATCTGAATGTGACTGTGTGTATACAACTCTGTGTGTGTATGTGCTTGTCTGTGTGTGTGTGTGTGTGTGTGTGTGTGTATGTGTGTCCGTGCCTGTACATATGTGTGTGAGTGTTACCTGGAATTAAACCCAAGGCCCCCTACTTGGTAGGCAAGCACTCTATCGCTAAACTCCCATCCATCCTTCCCAGCTGTCAGTCAAAGACTATTGGGGAATACTAGAGACTGAGGAGGAGAGGGAAGACCATCACGCTCCAATCCCTCAGTATCTGTGGACTTGCAGGGCTTTAGCAGTAGGAAGAATAAAAGTCAGATAAGGAAGGACTATCCTTTTCTCTCCAGGTGCCAGTGTGAGTGGGTGATTCATCCAGGGCAGGGAGGTATGGTAGCTGCTAGGCAGGACAAAGCAGAACTGGGCTCTAGATGGCCCCTCCCCCACTTCTTTGGGTGACTCTTGTCCTCAAGGGGCTGCCATTGCTGACCTCACCAACCAGGCGTCTTCCTAAGACAGAAATATTTTTACTTCCTGCTTGCCTAGGCCCCTGGCATGGGCTGGGGAGCAGCTGCCAGAGCTGTCTCATTAATTATGAGTACCACAATACCAGCTGTCTCTCGGCATGGACAGTGCCAACCGCCTGGCCCTACAATGCCCCTTGAAAAGCTAACTCCCAAAGGACAGTGGCCATTGTGCCCCAAGGGACGTTAAGAAGAAAAGGCTGGGCTGGTGGCTGGAGATAGCAGGGAGGGGAAGGAGGGTCTACCCTGGGGAGAGAAAGTAAGAGGGGTTGAGTCAGGCTTGGGTTTAAGGATCAAAGGAGTGCCAGTAGAGGTGGGCTGTGACAGCAGCCCTCAAAGTACTTCCTGCAGGGAGGTCTCTTGTCCAAGGCCTAGAGAGGGGGTCACAGAAAATCAGGGCTCTAGCCTCATCCAATGCCCACTCAGATCAGCCATCAATCCAAGGGAAACTGAGGCCATGTGCTCCTGGCCTTCCATCTACTCCTCTGGCTGCTCCTTACTGTCTCCTCGGCTAATTCCCACATGGCCACCAAGTGTTGGAGTTCCCAAAAGTCTATTTCTGGGCTATTTTCTCTCTGTTTGTGCAAATGCTTGAAGCATTCATGAATCCAGGTGCTGGGAGTGGACTGGGATGACAGACAGCTGTCAAGCGGGAGGCTGGCAGACCTGAATCATCTCATCCAGCCTCTTCCCAGACTCCACCCTACCCCAGACCACGGAAAGCCGGGGGCAGAGTTAGCTATGCAGAAGCTTTAGCAACCTCCAAAGTGGACATTTGATGCAGGGGACCATTTCTGAAATCTCAGTCAGCATCCCAGCTCATCCCTCTCAGAACTTCAAAACGAAGTCCTAGTTGTGTGTCTGGGTGCTGGCTCAGCAGGTGGGTTTCGCTGCCACAGGGCCTGCTGGGGGTTATGTACCTGGATGAGGTTGGCTGCTGGCATCCTCCTCTTTTCAAAGTGCTTCTGCCGATGTTGCTCCTGTACTTTCAGGGCAAAGCCAGAGCCGAGGATGCCCTAAGAAAACATTGCATTGGTGGGGGGAACATGGAGAGGGGGACAACAAGAGGCTGTGATGGTGGCCCCCTCCCCCTCCCCACCCCAGTCTGCCCAGCCTTCCTCACCAACCCAGCAGAGGGAAACTCACAGCAGGCAGGGCAAAGAAGGAGATGCCCAGTAAGGCGAAGCCAGCAGCCAGGACCCTGCCCAGCCAGGTATGTGGTGTCTTGTCACCATAGCCGATGGTGGTCAGTGTAATCTGGGGATACAAGCAGGTTACCCACAGCACTGGACACATCTAAGAGTTTACTGGGTACACAGGTAGGTGAGAGATTGATCACAAGGGGAGGGCTTCCCCTCACCCCCCTCCCCTTGATCCCTCATAGGGGATGGTCACAACTTGTCACCAGGCTGGTCAGGGAAAAGCAGGATAGGTCACAAGGTTTGATTAAGGGGCTAGATGGGGTGGGGGGGGGAGGGGAGGGGCAGTGTCAGCAGGTCCACCAGAGCAGGGTGGAGGGCTGGGGGTCCAGGATAGTAACAGACCAACTCTGAGTTGGAAGGTCATAAGGGACAGATCTCAGGAAGTTTCCAGGGAGGGTCCCAGGGGGAAGGGCAACCCGTTACAGACCCTCACGCACCGTCCCCCACCAGAGCGAGTCAGCGTAGGAGGAGAAGTCCGAGTTGGCATCCTTCTCAGCCAGATACACGAGGAAGGAGGCGAAGATGAGCACCAGGAACCCAATGTACCAGGCGGTGATCAGTTCCTGGGGACAAGTTGAGGAGTGTGAGGAGCCAGGCCCCCTGGTGAGGTGGGCACCTCCCAAGATGGCCTCTGGGCCAAGGTCTGGAAGAGAACTTGGTATGTGTGGTTCAAGTGATAGGGAGCCAGTGACAAAGCAGAGTGACAGCACAAGGCCCAGAATACACACACACACACACACACACACAGAAATACCAGCAGGGTCCCCAGCCTGTCCACGACCCATCAGGTTCCAGGCTCAGGCCTTCACCCCATGTCTGCCTTGCCATGTCTCCTGGTCTAACTTTTAGACTTCAATCAGGCCCTCCCCAGAAACTGCCAGCTTCCCATTTGGCAGTATGAGAGAAGTCCCTGAAAATCTAGACGTTTCCACGAGCAAGACCCCTCAGTCCAAGCCTCCTGCTCAGAGCCAGCCTGGTTGCCGGGGTCCCTGCCCACCCATAGCCTCCACCTCTTTTTTTTTTTTTTAATGTGGAACTCCTTTTTAAAAACTTTATTTTTTCTTTTGTGCCGGTCCTGGGGCTTGAACTCAGGGCCTGGGCACTGTCCCTGAGCTTCCTTTGCTCAAGGCTAGCACTCTACCACATGAGCCACAGCACCACCTGCTGCTTTTTATGAGGAAGCAAACCCAGGGCTTCATGCATGCTAGGTGTTGATTCCACCTCTTGTACAGGCGGTGGGCCCTGGTTCTATGCTCTCTCCTAACCCGCTCCTTTCTGATATCCAAGACAGCTGCCTGTAGCCCGGGGGGGCCCCAGCTTGTCCATCCAGCCTCCTCGCCCCTCCTCCACTCAGTCCCCTCCCCAGCGAGCTCACCTTGCTGTGCGCATAGACCACGGAGCCAAGCAGCTTCCAGGTGCCTCCGCGCCGGTCCATGCGCACCATGCGCAGGATCTGCAGGAAGCGCATGCTGCGCAACGCAGATGTGGCAAAGATGTTGCCCTGTGTGCCCGCGGCGATGACGGCCACCGAGGCCACGAACACAATGAAGTCTGCAAGGCAGGGGGGACCAGGTCATGGGCGCACCCCTGCCTCTGGACACCGGGCAGGGGTGGGGGGGAAGGAGAATTGGGGGGAGGGTTCCTGGGGTGGAGTGGAGGGAGTGGATTGGGAGGATCCACTGAGTTTGTCAGTAGTCAGGGTGGGGAGTCCAGGAGAGGGTCAGGGGGCCAACCCTGGGGTTTGGAGTCAGGAGCCAGGCCCAGTGGGAAAGGCCCTGTACCGATGACACAGAAGGGTTTCCTGGCAAAGCGGAAGCGGCCCTGCCATCCTCGGTAGCGGCAGCAGCAGCCAGCGGACCACACGCGGATGATGTACTCCAGGCCAAACACCACGATCATCACGAATTCCTGTGGGGACGGGGTGGGGTGAGCTCTGGTCCCCACTCTCAGGGGCCAGGGCCCAGGGCAGACAGAACCTGGCGCAGCCAGAACACTGGGTTAGGAGAACCAGCAACCCTTGGATTGGTCTCCTGGGGGGTTCTACTCCTAGAAGGATTAGGATTCCAGAAAGGAAGTGATGCCTTGCACATCTGTCCTCCCTTCTACCCGGTTGGCTGCCTGGGTTTTTCTTCAACCTGGCCTTTACCCACAGCCATGTGAGGCTCCCCAGCTCTGACTGGGTGACATAAAGAGGTGGCTGTCTCCAAGGAGCTTCTGTTTTGGTGTTCTGTTTAGTCAGGGGTGGAGACATTTTTTTCTTGGGACAGGGTGGTGCCTATTCATCCTGTTTGCTGGGCCTATCAATTTTTTTATGTTGCATATATTTCTTTTTTTTTTCCCCATGTTTTTTCCACCTGAGCTGTACCTCCATTCCTTTTTGTTATATTTAGAGTTTTTGCTCAGGCCTGGGTCAGAAGCCTTCTGCTTGGCTGGGGTATCATGTGCACACCACCTCAACCAGCTTTATTGGTTGAGATGGGGGTCTTGCTAACATTTTCTTGGGCTAACTGCACTCCTCTCGGTCTCTGCTTCTGAAGGAGCTGGGATGAGTGTGAGCCCCTATGCTCAGCCTTTTCCACGTTTTTATGAGCACTTATTAATTATACAATGTGAAGGTTTATTGTGATTTCCATGATGTATATAATAGACTTTGCTAATATCCCCCCCCCATTATACGTGGCCCATCCTAAGGCCTCACACTGAGGTAGAGCCTTCTACACTAACTATAAAGTTGGAAATGATGCCCAGAGAGGGTCAGCCACCAGCACAGGAAATACAGCACAGCAATCTGTTCTGTGACCCACAAAGTGAGAGTCTCTCTCTACCTTTGGCCCTTGGTCCCAATGGACTGCCTCACACAGCCTCTCTCAGAAAGAGTGGCAAGGACCCCTGTGCTCACCAAGATGAGGAGACACTCGTTGGCAAATTCCTGATGCTCCTGGATAGTGGACAACACGGACAGCACCAGGCAGCTGAAGACCAGCAAAAATCTACAATTGCAGCATGAAGGAAGTGGTTAGATGGCTGGGAGGACGGGATAGATTCCCTGGTAGGGAAGGAAGCACAATTTGGGAAGACTTTAGAAATGGGAATTGGCATCAGAGTTCCATGGAGTCATGGCTCTGAGGTGGGTACAAAAAACAGCAGCCTCCAAGCTCCGAGCTGCTTCATTTCCTGAACATCTCCCAACCCTCTTCCATCACACCCTGACACAGCTGTGGCTCAGAGAGGAAGTTACTTGGCTGTGAGGGGCATTTCTGTCCCAGCCCCTCACAAGGTTGTCTGAGAGAAGTATCCCAGAGGTCAGCCAGGGCTCGAGGAAGGTCATTGACTGAGGGAGGGGCCACCACCCCTGTGCATCTCCTCTGCAGCGTGAGGATGGCTGCACTGCCTTTGTGGGAACTCTTGGAATTCATCATGAGACAGTGATCCAGTGACAGGGGAATCAGGAATGGAAGGGAACAGAGGAGGAGGGAGAGCAGGCAGAGCTGGGCCATTGAGACCAAGAAGTCCCCTCTGGGCAGCTGGGGGCTAGCAAGTAGCTCAGAACCAGGCATTCAGGAAGAAACTTCAGAACTTAACTCATCCAACACTTCCCTCATCCTCAACACACAGGAAGAAACTTCATCAAGAGAGGAAAAGAAACATTTGTGAAACTCATACCTCCAATTAGCCACCAAAAAAGCCAGAAGTGGAGTTAAGTGGCTGAGCTCTAGCCTTAAGCAAAAAGTCTCAGGGAGTGGGGAGGGAGAGGGGGGAGATGGGAGGGCAGGGATGGTAAGGGGAAACGAAGGAGGAGGCAACAATGCTTGATAAGAAATGTACTCATTACCTTGCCCATGTAATTGTAACCCCTCTGTACGGTATTTTCACAATAAAAAAAAAAACTTAATAAAAAAAAAAAGTTCAGGGACAGCACCCTGGCTTAGGACTGGCACTACATATGTTGGTTTGTTATTATCCAAGCAAACCATATTCAAGAAATATTAGAAATTATAAGCAAAAGAGCAAAAGAAAAGTCAAAACCCTTAATTCTGCACCCTGATGACTCTTGGTACATATGTAAGAAGCTCCTGCATTTTAAACACGGAGGCCATGTTGCCCCTGAGGTTTTATAATCTGCTGTTTTCACTTAACTGGTTATGAAGCAGGCATCTAATAGATGTGGCAAGAAAAATACTGAGGAAAATAATTCCCAACAAAGAGATCCATGTGCCCACTGCTGCCTAAGGTCTATGGACAGCTGACAAAGGCGATGAAGAATTTCTGCCAAGGGCCTGGAAAAAGGACCATGAAAGCTCAGCACAGCCCTTCCCACAGGAGGACACTGGATGAAATGGCTTCAAGGAGGTCTCTTTACACCACGACCCCATGCGTAGCCCTACCTCAGTGGCCTGGCTGCTGCTGCTACTACTGTATTTTAGGACTGAATCTGAGGAGTGGAGGATCTGTTCCACTCCTCACCCACTCCTGTGTCTTTGTTTTTCCCCTTTGGGTGTGGGTGGTAGGGCTTAAACTCAGGGCCTGGTCACTGTCCCTGAGCATTTTTGCTCAAAGCTAGATAAAGCTCAACCACTTGAGCCACAACTCCATTTCTTTTTGTGTGTGTGTGTGTGGTTAATTGGAGATTAGAGTCTCACAGATTTTACTGCCCAAACTGGCTTCAAACTGGGATCCTCAGATCTCAGCTTCCTGAGTAGCTAGGATTTTTAGCATGAGCCACTGGCGCCCAGCCGCCTCCCCATATACATAAATATACATATATATATATATATATATATATATATATATATATACATATAATGTATTTTCTTTTTAGGTCCAACATCAGGACTCAAACTCAGTACTTGACATTTTGCTCACTGACTAACACTCTACCAACTGAGTCATGCCTCTGATACATAAATGAATTTTCTTTTTCTTTTTTTCTTTTTCTTATTTGTTTATTTTGGGTCCAGTCCTGGGGCCTTGAACTCTGGGCCTGGGCGCTGTCCCTCAGCTCTTCAGCTCAAGGCTAGCGCTCTACCACTTGAGCCACAGCGCCACTTCCGGCTTTTTCCTTTTTTGCTTATGTGGTGCTGAGGAATCGAACCCAGGGCCTCAGGCATGCAAGGCAAGCACTCTGCCACTAAGCCACCTTCCCAGCCCCTTCTTTTTGTTTTAAATGAATTTTCTTAACAACACAGACAGGTTTTACCATTAGCAGGTGTGAGGGGTGGTAACAACTCTTCCTAGAAGACCAGCTCACATGTCCATCGGCCTATCAGCATCTCTTCTTGGATGTCTGGTAGCCTTCCAAACTGAACTTGTCCCCTCTCTAGCCTACCAGCTGGTTACAGACATCAAGGATAACCAAGCCACCCGTGGCTCTTCTTGTCTTTGTCCTCCACATCTTGCTCTATAGAATAATCTGCAGGGACTGGGAACGTGGCTTAGTAGTAAAGTGCTAGCTCTGAGCAAAAGAAGCTCGGGGACAGTGCCCAGGCCCTGAGTTCTGAAGAAAGAAAGAAAAGGAAGAAAGGAAGGAAGGAAAGAAAAATTTTGCAGAACATACCCATGAATGGACCAGTTCTCCTGGACCAGTTCTCATTGTCCCTAACCAAGCCCCCATCATCTGGCCCCTGATGGATCTTCCTGCCTTTCCTCTCACTTCACACTACCTACTCTTCAAAGCAGCCAGGGTGATCTTCCTACCATGTAAAGCTGAAAAATATCACTCTGCTTGGAACGCTCCACTGACTTTCCATCACACATGGAGAGTGAAGGTCAAGCTCCTGAGCACAGCCAGCAAGGCCCTGCAAGGTCTGGCCTCCAGCCCACCTCTCCCTACTCCCTGTTAGCTCACTTCCATCCTTCTGGCTTCCTGAACATTCCTGAACCACATCTAACATATTTCCATCTCCAGGCTTCATCTTGCTTTGCTGCTTCTTCTACCTGTTGCTCCTTACTAATCCAGGTCACTGCTCAAATATCACTTCCTTGTAGAGGTCTTCCTCAGCCATCCTCTTTAACATACGGGCCTCATCTCCTCTTCCTCTCCTCACCCTGATTGATTCATTGACTGATTGATCGACTGACTTCACAGCAAGGCTAAAAAGGCTGAGAAAACGACCAGCAGGAATTCACATAAATAAACATCAAAGTCACCAAACTAGGACCCACTGTGGAAGTTCTTAGAGCTCTAAGAATATCCATTGCTGATTTGGGGTCCCCAGCATCCTTCCTAAGAAAACATGAACTTTAAGGGGGGTTGAAGTTTTTTTTTCCCCCTTGGTCAGTTGTAGGGCTTGAACTCTGGGCCTGGGCGCTGTCCCTGAGCTCTTCAGCTCAAGGCTAGCGCTCTACCACTTGAGCTACACTGCCACCTCTGGCTTTTTTCTGTGTATGTGGTACTGAGGAATCGAACCCAGGCTTCATGCATGCTAGGCAAGCACTCTACCACTAGGCCACATTCCCAGCAGGGTTGAGGTTTTTAGGTTTGTTTTTCCCAGTACCAGAGCTTGAATTAATAGTGTCAACATTTTTTTCTTTCTTTTTCATTCAGCTTTTTTCCCCCTCAAGAATAGCACCTTACCACTTGAGGCATACCTCTAGTTCCAGCTTTTTTTTTTTTTTGCTGGTTAATTGAAGATCAGAATCTTTCAGACTTCTTTGCCTGAGCTAGCTCCGAACCATGATTCTCAGTCCTCAACTTCCGGAGTATCTACGAATATAGGTGTAAGCCATTGGTGCCTGGCTGGCAGGGAGTATTGTTACCCTCTACTGCGCAACTCATTTGAAAGGACATCCTGCATTCCTGATGAATGATTCTCATCTTCCAGGACCCAGAGACCTGCTCAAGATCACACAATGACTCAACAGCAAAGCTAGGGATGTCCCAAAACTAACTTGAGGCTCAGCGCTGCTGACCTTGGCCTTGGTCTTTGCCCTCACACACACACACACAGCAGATAGAAGGTCAATGTCTGGGGTCTAAGGATAAAGGAGCCAGGCAGAAGGATCCTGTGAGCTGGCTCCAGGGTTGTGGTGCTCCAAAGAGGGGAGACCCTGGGAGAGGGGGAAAATGCCTTCTCTCCTGAGCAGATCTCTGGAATGAGGGCAGAGTCCAAAGGAGACTTAAAGGTTTGTTTTCCTGGTTACTCAAGGTGCTTATCCCCCACTCCACCCTTTTCTCCTCAGCCTACCCAGTGCTGAGATTACAGTGCTTAGTAGCTACATGCATTTCTACAAAGTGCTCCAATGAACAGTGCTGCTGTTCTGTGTGGGAATCATAGCTAAGACTAATTGGCTCACTGAGTCAGTTACTATCCAGTTCAGAGCTTTTTAAACAACTATAGTTACTGCCATCATCCCATCCACACCTGTTCAAATTACTGCCCAGACATGGCCTTCAGGAAGTGGGAGATGGGGATGCTGGGGAGGTATTATGCCAATATTGGCTTCACCCTGAATTCACTGAGGGACCTGAAGTCATCACAGTAGCTGCTCCTGCTGACCAAGGACTTCCCATTGGCTGGGTACTCCACACACATGTGTCCACTTCTTGAGCCCCCATGGTGGCAAGGCCAGGACTATGAGTATACAGGTAGGGGTCAGAGGGTTCAGTGTGACATCTACACAAAAGAGCATATGTACATAGCAAGGAAGGGACTTTATGGCCTATAAATTATATATCTGAATGAAGTTGTTACTTAAAAGAAAAAGCTAGAGGAATGGCTCGGGTGATTGAGTTCCTATCTAGCAAGCCTAAGGTCTTGAGTTCAATCCCCAATACTACCAAAAAAAGTTAGGAAGGAAAGAAAGAAGGAAAGAAATGAAACAGAAGGAGCTATATCAACCTCACTTTTTCAATGTGGTAAGGCAGAATCTGAACTCAAGACCATCTGGATCACTAGGTCTCTGTTTCTCTGTCCACAGCATAAAGGTGGATGATTCAATGATGACTAAAGTCTCAGCAGAGAAGTGGAAGCTCAGAGGGGATGTCCCTAGG